AACAGTAAGAAAATATACAATACAGATTAATAACATAACCACAATTTAAAGGGAGTGGGGAAGAATAGAACTAATCTAAATAACTCTGGACAGTATCTAGATACTGTAAGACTAAAGAAAAAAAAAGGGGGGGTCCTCCCCAGGGGAGCAGCGGTTGAGCGCTGGGTTGCAAAGCTGCCCGCAGTCTCTGCAGCACTGGTTCGATCCCCTGCTGCTCCCCGGCCAACAGAGGAGGGTCCCACATGGTGCGCAGACCTCTCCTGCCGCCTGCTGCTCCCCTCAGCAGTGTGCTTTGGTCCTTCTGCCTGCTCTGCTCCCTGCTCTGGCTCTGGTGAATTCTCTCACCCTCCCGCGCTTCTGACTGTGCCCAGTGCTTGTATAAATAAATAAATAAAATAAAATAAAAATAAATCTTAAAAAAAAAGAAAAAAAAGACTACACAAATACAACATTCTAATAAACAATATGTTTCTCATAAGGGTATGGGTTAGCAATCCATAACTACTATAAAAATGAACAAATAAGTTAGTATACTACAGATAAAAGAGTCAAGTTTCTCACTGTCAGAAAAAAAGTTATAAGAAAAAGGGAAAAGGGCCTCCCTGGTGGCGCAGCGGTTGAGCGCTGGGTTGCGAAGCTTCCCGCAGCCTCTGCAGCGCCGGCTCGATCCCCAGCTGCTCCCCGGCCACTGGAGGAGGGTCCCACATGGCACGCAGACCTCTCCTGCCGCCCGCTGCTCCCCCAAGCAGTGTACTTCGGTCCCTCTGCCTGCTCTGCTCCCCGCTCTGGCTCTGGTGAGTTCTCTCACCCTCCCGCGCTTCTGACTGTATCCAGTGCATGTATAAATAAATAAATAAATAAATCTTTTAAAAAAAAAAAAAAAAAAAGAAAAGGGAAAAGTTGGAACGAATCTTACGGTACTAGACTGGAACAGATGAGAACTCGTTTTTTAATATAAACAGAAAGACTGCAGAATTAAGTCTGTGTATATAAGTGTGCAGGTGTGCAAACTCACTTGGGTGGTCAGGTTTAATATATGTATTTCATACTTCTGACTCCTGAGAGGCTAGAAACAATGACACCCCAATCAGCATACCTAGCATCTAGACCTTGATTTAAATTTTATTCTCTAATTAAAAGAACTAGAATTCCTTGGAGAAGCACTTGATGTCAACATTGGTCAAAGAAAGATATCAAATGAGCATGGGATAATAGTGCCAGAATATAAGGGCCCGAAGAAAGGGTGGTGACCAATCTGAAAGAGCTCCTAATGACCAAGGCTACAACAATTTGAGCAACAAAATAATTATACTATTGAATTATAACCCATAGAGTAAAATAAATACCCATGAGATCATACTTACATAAATAAATTATTGAATAAACAAATGAGGAAGGATATAGCTTCCAAAATGTAAAAGGAATGAGGGAAACACAAAATCACCCTCAGGCAAACACCACAGTAGTAACCATTGTACACGAAGGCCACCAATGGATGCTAAAGTCTGAAGAGAAACAGTATATCTGCATAGTCTCAAAGTATCCCCCCAAGATATATATCAATTAGAATAGTAACTTTATTTTTTTTTTTTTTTTTTTTAATAGAGGCATGCTTTTATTTATTTATTTGTTTGTTTGTTTTGTTTATACATGCACTGGGTACAGTCAGAAGCACGGGAGGGTGGTAGAATTCACCAGAGCCAGAGCGGGGAGCAGAGCAGGCAGAAGGACCGAAGTACACTGCTGAGGGGAGCAGCGGGCGGCAGGAGAGGTCTGCGCGCCATGTGGGACCCTCCTCCGGTGGCCGGGGAGCAGCCGGGGATCGAACCAGCGCTGCAGAGGCCGCGGGCAGCTTCGCAACCCAGCGCTCAACCGCTGCGCCACCGGGGAGGCCCTAGAATAGTAACTTTATAGTAGAGAATCCAGCAGAGGCCACCTCAACAAAGTAAACAAAGTTAAAGTATCACTAGCCATAAAATAGTAACATCATGTACTCCCTAACATGATTCACTGAGAATGTACTCTCACAAACACACATATCCTTAATCTAATCATGAGAAAAACACCAGACAAATCCAAAATCAGGAAAATTCTCCAAAATAACTGATCATTATTCATCGAAAGAATCAAGGTCATGAAAGACAAAGAAAAACTGGAACGGTCACAGACTAGAGACTAAGACCACACAATAATTAAATACAATGTGGGATTCTGGATTAGATCCTGGAATAGAAAAAAAGGCATTAGGAGAACAAGTAAAATTCAAATACAGTTTGTAGTTTAGTTAACAGTATTATAGCAATGCTAATTCCTTGGTTTTGAAAATTACTTCAGTTAACTAAGTTCTCAACATTAAGGAATGCTGTATGAGGGGTATAAAGAACTCTACACTATCTTTTCCACACTTCTGTTTAGTGTAACATTATTTCAAAATAAACTGTTAAATTAAAATTTACCATCTCATGCCACATTTCCTAGCTCATGATCTTATCTAGGATCTTATCTAGGATTTAATATTCCCATTAATTTAGAGGATCCAGTAAGTGACAACAAAAAAAAAACTAAAAATCATAAAAATCAGATCTGGCATTTAAAAAAGTAAATTACCACTTTATGTTCTTTTATATTTTTTAGTCAAAAAATCTGCTAGTTTTAAATTTACTGGCTTTGCATTTAAAATGTCTTTTTAAATGACATGACCAATTTTTTATGTGTTCAACATCATCATAATCTGCAGATGTTTATATTAATAAGAAAATTAAGTCATACTTTTACATTTGCTTTCTCCTCCTTGCACTATCAGGATGTCTACACTAGTGAAATACATGACTAGCAAATGAATGGGTAAATGTCACCTGCCAACAGCGTAAGTAGAAATTCAAGAAGCAAAGTGATTAAGAACTTTATGCTTCAACAGGGCATTTAGCCCATTCCAATGATAACCCCAAACAGATGATAAGCTATCCTATTTTCAAAAGCCTCTACATTTCCAACCTTCCAAAATGTCTCATTCTGCCATATAGTCCTGTCATGTGACTTGGAGGAAATATTATAAGACTATTCTTTGCCCTATGGACTGCTTTCTTTTCTCAAACAATGTAACAATATATTTAACTCAATTTCTAAGATACATGTGTATCAGTATATGTTTACACACACATACACAGAGCATACAGGCACGTAGGGTGCTCTATTTCGCTTGTATAAACACACACTATAAAAACACACTAAAGGGGCCTCCCCGGTGGCGCAGCGGTTGGGTGCTGGGTTGCGAAGCTGCCCGCAGCCTCTGCGGAGCTGGTTCGATCCCCGGCTGCTCCCCGGCCACCAGAGGAGGGTCCCACATGGCGCGCAGGCCTCTCCTGCCGCCCGCTGCTCCCCTCAGCAGTGTACTTCGGTCCTTCTGCCTGCTCTGCTCCCCACTCTGGCTCTGGTGAATTCTCTCACCCTCCCGCGCTTCTGACTGTACCCAGTGCATGTACAAACAAATGAATAAATAAATAATAAATAAATAAATAAATAAATACATGCCTCTTTAAAAAAAAAATAAAAATAAAAATAAAAACACACTAAAACCCACGTAAGAACAGGCACATATCCATCCCAATCACAAAAGTACTATAAAACTATGTCACATAGTAATTTTGGTTTAAAAATAAACAATGGAAATCAATTTTATGAAACCTTTAAGTAAATAGTTTTCTTGCCACTATGAATTGAGTTTATTTTTCACAAATACTGCTCCACTATAGGCAGAATGTAAAAACGTGTATGTACTCGACCCAAATAATATTAAAACGTTTGATTTTTAAAACTTTACATTTAGTTAACACTCATTATGGAAGATGATTCAATGAAAAAGATAGTGACAAGAGAATACAGACAATGATAATGAACAAGTAAGCAGTTTTAAGCAGGCAGGTCAACGAAGTGACTCAAATAAAACAAAGCATTTTTAGAACATACATAGAATGGGGAAGTTCCAATCAATGATGAGCCAAGTACTATTTGAAAAAAATTGTCAGGAAATACACCAAACGTTAACGACGAAATGCCATCTCTGAGTTGGTTTGTTCAGATTCATTATTTCTAATACTCTGATTATCCACATTTCCTACAGTATTATCAGCATCATTATAAAATTAAGGAATATTCTGTCCCTGTGTTTCACAGCTCTCTAGGATGCATAGCACGTCTTTTACATAACCTCCTGGGAGAGGAGGGACCAGCTCCTGTCCTCGTGTCTCCCATGAACCTGCCACCTATCTCAAAAAAGCTTTCACCAGATTCCCTGGGACAGTTCCTTTCACCACCATCATCGTCCTCTCCCCCCACCCCCGAGACCAGACAATACACCTCGTCTCTCCTCCTGGCAGCAAGGGTTTTATAAACTGTTATTGTATCGAGCTCGGAGATTTGAAGGAAGGTTTACCAGATGATGAGCTGCCCCCACCCAAAGGCAGAGGGAAGGAGACAGACACGTCGCCCCAACCTCCATCCCTCAAAAGGGCGGCGTGGCTGGCGGCGTGGGGCACCGGGGCCGGGCTCTCCGCGGACCCTGAGAGAGAATCCTGCCGCCGCCCCCTCAGCCCCGGCCCGAACCCAGCCCGGGGAGGGGCGCTCGTTAGCGGATAAAGGGGCGGCGGAGAAGGTCACAGACGCTACCCTGAGGGCCGAGAACAGGTAGAGCCAGCCGCCTGAGGGGCGGGTCCCTCCGCCTGCTCGGGCAGGAGGCTTGGTTTCTAACGCGACTCTCCAGGCGGCGGGAGGCCGCGGGGCTGGACGGTCCCCCCCGCGCCGGGAGCGCCGCCTCGGGCCTCCGCAGCCGCCCACCGGGACCCCGGCGGCCCTTCTGTGTGGCGGCGCCAGGGTGGCCCCGGCAGGCCATGCCCAGCCGGGGGGCGCCCGCACCGGCGGCCGGGGGAACAGAGGAAGAGTTACCGTATGCGACTCTGAACTGGCGGGGTGGGGCGCGGCCCCGGCGAACCGGGCCAGGCTCGGCAGCGGCTGCGGCGGCCGCGTCCTTTATTTTTGCTGCAGCAGCGGCGACTTGTCAAAGGGAAAGACGTAAGAGGCGGCGGCGGGCGAGTCTCGCGGGACTTGGGCGGAACTCTCGCGCAACCTGGCGCATTCGCCCCGCCCCCACGCCCGGCGCGGGCGGCGTGAGGGGCCGGGGGCGGAGTGGCGGGGCTGGGGTTGCGACCCGAGGGCTTACGTTGGGGAGCGCAAGTGGGGCTCCTAGGTTCTGGGGGCGCCCCGCCACCGCGCGACCCTAGCAAAATCTGGATAGACCCGTCCGCTCGCGACGGCCGGACTACACCTATAAAGCACAATGGGGGGCAGCTCAGAGAGGGCGGTGAAGATTAGAGTGCCAGCCGGGACACCCCGTTTTCCTCGGGGTCTGCGGGGGAACCCCTACTCCCCGGAGCCCTGGAACTGCAAGACGGAGCGACGCACAGAAAAGTTGGCAGCAGGGGCCAGGCGACCACACCCCTTTATCTCGCGCGCCCGCGCTCTGCGCTCCTTATCCGCCGTCACACCAGGCCTGAGACCTCTGGCCGGTCAAGTTCAATCCCAAGAAAGCCTTTCACTTGACCTAATTCCGACTTATTATTCAGGACTTTGCACTGTAAGAGTGCCCGACGGCTGATTTTGGGGCCTGCGACTCGTCGGTTTTCTTTTCTGCTGAGGAACACAGGTAAATAGTTCTTTGGGGTGACTTAACATCCTTAATCGTGACCCTGACCTCTCCAGTGACGTCCCGTGAGAGGAAGGGCCCTGACTGACCTGTGCATCACTGTATCCCCAGCACCTAACATCAGTCCAGATGCTCGTTCAATTACTGAATGGCTTTCTCTTGTCCCAGTCTTCATTCTTCACCTGTTCTTACCCTAGACTTCCACATTTCCAGCCATCTTCCTGCTGTCCTTCGTTGAAAATACCCTACAGGGTACTATTTATATGCGACTGACTGACCGAGGTTATGGAGCCAAAAAAAATGGTGCCTGTCTCTGTCCCCAGTTAGATTGTGAACTTCTGGGGGTCATTAGAGTAACATAGGACATACAAGCCATGTATGTGTCACTAACGTAAAAAGTTATAGGCAGAAGAGGGGGTGCTTGCCTGTGGTTTAATTGTGTATGAGACAGTTTAGCCCAAGCATTGACTCAGTGTAAGCAATTTGTTTCACAGTCAGACATAAGTTGAAAATCCTAGAATTCCATGTACCAGATGTGTGACCTTGAGCAAGTTGCTTGAACTCTCTGAACCTTAGTTCCCCCTCTGTCAACTTAGAATGTTAGTTCTTATCATGACACTCTATGAGAAGTAAAATATATGTAAAACTGCTGTTACTTCCTAATTACTTGTTAAATGTAGGCCTTATGTGTATAAATTTTAAACAGCTATGTATAAAATGTCTTTCTGGTAAACTAGATGTGAGGGAGTAGATATGTGTGAAGTGATGTAGTGGTTACTGGTGCTTTGTTTTGCCTTTGGAATGTGGCTCCAAAAAAAAACTTCTCTGATGTTCAGAGCAGGATCTGTTATAGAGCAACCCCGATATTAAACGGGTTCCTGGCTGTGGGTCCTCACCCGCGCGCTTTAAAGGGACTTATGAATACTCTACTACAGACACACACAAAAGGGTTAATAAAAGGTTTATTTACAAGAGAAAAGGAAATAAGGAAAATGTACAACTCAGGGAGAAAATAGGGAAATAAAGTCTTCAATGCGTCCTACCCGATCCGATGACCTGGAAACCCAAAGTCACTCTCAGAGCTGGCCGGACGCTGTGAGCTGGTGGAGAGCCAAAATGGGGGAACCCCAAAGCCCACGTGTCTGCCTTTTGTATCCACCTGGCTGTTTAACCCCACCCTCAGGTCACAGCCACCTTCCCTTTGGTGGTGATGGGATTTGGAGTTCCCAGTGTCTTTGGCTTTGACCTGGGGTGGGGGTGGAGTCCACAAAGCCTATATGGAATTTGCTTTGGGACATCCTTTTCCCCCTAACAGATCTACAGTACTGCGTCCTGGTGTCTCTTGAAATTGCAGCCTATTTGCCCTCAAGTTTAACAGCCTTCCTGAACCTCTTCTCACATTTGTAAATAAAGGTGAAAATGGGTTTCCTGCCTGCCTCAGAATATCATGGGTGTCAAATAACATAAGAAAGTACTTTGTAGGGCCTCCCCTGGTGGCATAGGTGGTTGAGCACACTGCACTGTGAAGCTGTCCACAGCCTCTGCAGTGCTGGTTCGATCCCGGCCGGCTGGCGAGGGTCCCACATGGCGTGGCAGACCTCTCCTGTCGTGCCTGCTGCTCCCCTCAGCAGTATATTTCGTCAGTCTACCTGTTCTGTTCCCCACTCTGTCTCTGGTGAATCCTCTCACCCCCTGCACATCTGGCCTGTACCCCAGTTCTTGTATAAATAAATCTTAAAAAAAAAAAGTCCTTTGTAAACTTAAAGTGCTATATAAATAGGATTTATTCACTCATTGATTCATTCATTCATCTAGTAGATCTTTGTTCAATGCCTGTCGTAAACCAGGCACTTGGACAAAGCACTGAGTATACTAACTTGCGCAAACTTTTATAACTTCCCTCAAAGTGCTTATGGTCAAATGGGAGAAGATAGGAAGAAAACAGATCGTTATAATGCCTTGGGAGGAGAGTATAAATGATAAGAGAATGAGGGTGGGTGAGAAGAAGGACAAAGAGCTGGAAGGTTTCTTGGAGAAGGAGGTTTAAAAGACTAGCACTTATCATGAGGATCTGGCCCATTCCATGAAGAGTAATTCATAAATCAACTCCAAAATAACTTCAACAAATTGCTCTGTTGTGGGTTGTGAATTCTGCTTTGTTCTAATAAAGCTCACATCGCCTAAACCATTAGAGTCTTTGATGTGGAATCATTATATACACCCATTAGCTTTGAAGAAAGATGGAATTAATGGAGGGAAAAATCGGTGGTGTCTTAATTAGAAACATTTTGTTCTTACAGCTTGTGTTTAAACACCAGGAAAAGAGAATGAATTCTACTTCACGTGCTTGGTCCCTGTTCCCTTCAGCCAACCAACCTTTCTGATCCAGGTAATATTGCAGACCAGAGCCCAAGAAGCATTTCAAACCTTTGATAACGATCTTATTGTTACTTATGTTTATTTATATTCCACTTCTTTACAGAAAGACTGAAGTAGCTATTAGCAATTTATTTTTAATCATGAGCCGCACAAAGAAACTACAAGAGAGTATATATATGAGCCAATAATTTCAAACATTTACTAAGTGATAACTATATGTAAGACATCAGGCTAGAACTATAGACTATACAAAGTAGGTCCATGCCCCCTAGGGTCCTGAACACTAAAAATGAAAATAAATATCCAAGAAAAGATAACATAAATTGGGCCTCCCTGGTGTTGCAGGAGGTTGAGCGTCACACTGTGAAGCTATGCGCAGCCTCTGCCCTGCGGGTTTGATCCCGGCCGGCCATGGAGAAACCCAGATGATGCGGCAGACCTCTCCTGTCTTGCCCGCTGCTCCCCTCAGCAGTGTATTTTGTCAGTCTGCCTGTTCTGTTCCCCGCTCTGTCTCTGGTGAATCCTCTCACCCTCTCGTGCATCTGGCCTGTACCCCGGTTCTTGTATAAATAAATAAATCTTTAAAAAAAAAGAAAAGATACCTAAGTAACAACAATGTGGATTCTAGCCCTTCATTGGTTGAATAAGCAAAATTGTAAAGTTAGGCCCCTAACTTGTATAGCTTTTCCAGAGAAGCAGGATACACAGGAAGGGCGAGATGTTTATTGTAACTTGATATTTATAAATGTATGATAGGTATTTTAATAGGTCCTCTGGAATACATTAACTTTTAAACAGAGTATATTCTATTACAGTTTTCTCTGGGTACAGGTAAAATTTGAAGTTTACCAAACCCAAGTACTAATTAAAAGTATTTTGAAGGACAAAGACTTGTGGGCACACACACACACACACACAAAACCATCAGTAAAAAGCAGTATGCTACAAGCTTAAAAAAAAAGTACAGAAAATAATGCAACTCAGAAAAGAGAAAAGATTGCTGGACAAAGACAGCTGTCCAGGTGGTAGAATTTGAGAGGGGAACTGACAACTGAAAATAAAAAGTTACATATTCTGATAATATATTTTTAGTCCCCCCTTCTATAATGGATTGTCAAAACACTAACCTTCAAGCCATAAATGTTACCTAGAATGTTTATAACTGTACTTACATATGAGAATACAGTCATTACCTCTTTTCTTGCTAACAAATAATTGCTCTCACAAAAGGAAACAGTTATGGAACATAGGACCCCAGATTGACAGGTAGTTCTGGAAATAGAAAGTCTTGATGAATGCAAGCCTTATAGGATTGTCACTTCATATGAAATTCATATTCTAAATGAAATATCACATATACCAGGATACCCACCATCTAAACAGTACGAACAACTTCCCTCACTAACTTCAGCCTGCAGTGCAATAGCCATTTTAGATAAATCATTTTCACAACATTTTGTTAGTGTTCTAGCAAAACACAATTGCCTGGGGCAAACACAGATGAACATTTTCTCATTCAGCACCAGGGAATGAAATCTTGATGCTATTGGGAAGCATCAAGTAGGAAATGAAGCTAGAGGGAAAATGTGTGCAAACAAAAAGGAGAAGATGAGAAAGGAAACTAACATTTATATAGTGTTATCCATGTTTGACACTATAGGAGCACAGTAGGAATGAAATGAACAAAGTGAATCTTTGTCCTGGAAAGAAAGCAGAGAGGATGTGTATATAAATAACACAAGTTAGAAAGTTCTGAGCACAGTCAAGAGAACTTTTTCCCCTTTCAAAGAACTGGGAAGTTTAGAAAGCTAGTTGAATTCCACGAAGTTAGATCAGGGATCATGAGAGATGGGACAATGAAAATTGAGTAGTTGGTTTTGAATATATGGGAAGTGGGAACCTTCTAGGCACAAAGAACATAAGCAAACATGTGTTCAAGATCAACAGTCAGTCTCTCTTCCAGGTCTGAGGCTTGCCCCAACACACCCCCAACCAGGGGACCATTGCAGCCCCTGCTCCACAATAACCATGTGCGACGTGAAGGCTGTGATCAAAACTGTGGATATGTCAGAGGAGATGCAACAGCACTCGGTGGAGTGTGCCACTCAGGCATTGGAGAAATACAATGTAGAGAAGGACATCGCAGCCCACATAAAGAAGGAGTTTGACAAGAAGTACAATCCTACCTGGCACTGCATTGTGGGGAGGAAATTCAGTAGTTATGTGACACATGAAACCGAACACTTCATCTACTTCTACATGGGCCAAGTGGCCATTCTTCTGTTCAAATGTGGTTAAAAGCATGGACTGTGTCACACATGCAGTGATCCATCCAAAAACAAGGACTGCAGCCTAAATTCCAAATACCAGAGACAGAAATCTTCAGCCTTGCTTAAGAGAACACTTCAATCTCACAACCTTTGTTGAGTTGCTTTGTACAGGACATTATCTGTACTAACTTGTTGTGGTTATAAACAATTAGCAAAACAGCTTATATTTGTATTTATTTTCTACCCCTCTCTGTCCCATGTTTTTCCTCATCAAAATCCATTCCTTTAAAAAAAAAAAGTCTGTTGGAGAAATAAAGATCAGTAGGCAGTTAAGTACTTTGTAGTACTAATGTTACTCTGGAACTCTTGGTTACAAGAATTCCAACCTGGACTTGTTGAAGCAAAAATGAAGGAGAATTAGGGGCCTCCCTGGTGGCACAGGGGTTAAAGACAGTGCTATCAAGCTATCACCAGCCACTGCAGCATGAGTTCCATCCCAATCCCTGGCGGGCCAGGGAGCTGACCCACAAGGTGCAGCTGACCTCTCCTGCCTCGCCCTTTGCTTCCCTCAGCAGTGTATTTCAGTAGATCTGCCTGTTCTGCTCCCCACTCTCTGGTGAATCCTCTCACCTCCTGCACCTCTGGCTTACACCCCAGTTCTTGTATGCATAAATAAATAAATCTTTAAATAAGTAAATAAAGCAGAATTAGCTCAAGGAATTCAGAAGAGGTCAAAATAAGTGGGGGAGTAGGGGTGGTAGGCTATGAACCAGGCTCCAGGAACTTTTGGAACCAGGAACTTGAGCAGCACCAGAACTCTTCACTGCATTGGCTTCAGTTTCTCTCAAGACAGACTTTCCTCATAGATCCAGAAATATAGCACCTCCAAGTTTTACAACTTACTGTTTCCACTAGAAAGGGACTAACACTCTTAAGTTTGAAAAATCCAAGGGGAAAACGTGTTGATTGGTCAAGTCTTGGCTCAGTACCCATCTCTAGGTCAATCCCAGGGGCCGAGGGGTAGGGCAGGACACAGGGTAGATGAACACCATATTGTTCTATGTTTTCTATAAGGAAAGTGGGAAGTGAGTCTGGAAAAGCATTCGAGTCTTGATAGGCTGTGCTGTGGGAGTTGGTAAAGGACTGCAACTGACATCTGTATGAGGAGCACATTAGCAGGGGGAAATATGTTGAACAAAGATCTGGACTCTCAGGTAAAAATGGGCTTGAAATTTTTCTTATTACTATTTAGTCATTTCAATCAAGATATTATAAAACATAATGGTTCTCTCACATTGATTTTTAAGACAGCAACACCTGGGAACCCTCTTTAGCCTCCTAGCTGGATAACTTCAGGTGAGTAGCTTAACCAACCTGAGCCACCATTTTCTCACTGGGAAGTAGCAGTGGTAATGACAGCAAACATCAATTGAATCTTGGTGTTGAAAGCACTTTCAAAACATCGTTTCTTTCAATTCTCAAAACAGCCCTATAGGGCTCTATAAACCTGAGATGATAATCCCATTCACAGGATTATTGTAACGATTAAAGAACTCATGTAAAATGCAGAGCCCATTTACCTGGCACACAGCCAGTACTCAGTGTATCATTACTTTAAATTATCTGTTGCCCAGAAAAGGTAACTCCCCTCATTTCCTCAATTGCCTTGGGCACCAGAAGCCAATACTTTGAGAAAACAAAAACAAATGAAGGAAAGAACTCGACATATGACGCCTTGTCTCTCCCATAAAGAGGTCAGTTAGGGTCTGTCTGACTTTATAGAGGCTAAATAGGCCAGGAAGAGCAATACTACAAAGTAAATAGAAAGCAGTATATTGAGAAATGTGATTATGAAATATCAAATCAAGGACAATTTGGTTTTTTTTCTTTTTTTTTTTTTTTAAACATTTATTTATTTGTTTATACAAGCACTGTGTACAGTCAGAAGCACGGGAGGGTGAGAGAATTCACCAGAGCTAGAGCGGGGAGCAGAGCAGGCAGAAGGACCGAAGTACACTGCTGAGGGGAGCAGCAGGCGGCAGGAGAGGTCTGCGCGCCATGTGGGACCCTCCTCCGGTGGCCGGGGAGCAGCCGGGGATCGAACCGGCACTGCTGCGGGCAGCTTTGCAACCCAGCACTTAACTGCTGCGCCACCAGCAGTTAAGGCCCACGATTTGTTTTTTTAAAGGATAGAACTTCCCCCCAAAAAGGTCCAACTGTAAAACTGAACTAATGGGCTTTTTGAAGTTTCTCATCTCTTTGACCTAAATGCTGTCAAATGACTGGGATGATTCAAGCAATGACAAGAACTAACATTCACCCTGCAATATCAATGTGATTGGGCTCTGTGCTGAAGGGCTTAGAAGTGATTGGTTCATGTCACCAATTAGTAAGTAGCAAGACTGGAATTCAAACATAGGTCTGGTTTACTTTAAAACCTGAATACAAAATAAATCCTACTTCCTTACAGGGAGAGATATTCAAGATATGGTACTACCCAAATCTGAGAAAACTGGTGAAAGAATAGGCACTGCTCAACTTCTCTTTCCCCTACCCTTTTTGCCATGGTCATACCCCTCCATCACCTTAGATTAAATCTCCTTGCCCTGGGGCTGCAGACTCTTCCTAAAGACTGCCTTCTCTTCAAAATATACTTTCTCTTCCCCAACTCTGCACTAAAACGCCTTGTATCCTAAAGTGTGCTCTTCCCTCTAGTTAACACATTTGAAATGCATTTCACATTCTGAATTGGACTTTCTGTGTGTATTGGGCAATATTAAAAATAGTTCAATTAATGGAAAGTTCACAGCCTGCAAGAGTGGGATGGACCATACCCGAAATAAGGAAACCTCTGAGAGTCCTCCAGGTTGTGTCACATAGCCCACAACCCCATCTGTGAGTTCCCTGAGAGCTGAACCTGGGGATGTCATGTTCAGTTCTTAGAAATCAATAAATATATTATGAATGAATGAATGAAACCTGAAATACATAACTTCCCCCTCCCCCCTAGCCTCGGACTAACCCAACACATGTGCAACTGTTCCAGATAACAGGGTTTTTATACACCTTTGGCAGAATATCCCTTCCCAGCCCCCCTCTCACTGAGCTATGCTGATCTTCAAACAAGGTCATATTGACCCATGACTCAGTTAGTGTCAATGGACTCCATCATTATGAAATATGGAATAAGCTTTCAATAGAATTGGGAGACAGAAGAAGAAAAGGTTTGCCTATGAGTAACTTAATATGAGTTATGACAGACAGTTGAAAAAATCACCTGAAATTTTTTTTTTAACAAAATCAGTAGTTGCTTCAGAAACATTCACCAGCCTTTTGAGAATCTACAGATATGTAAGTAGATTCTTTTGGCTATCAACCAAAGCAGTATAAATAAAATAGGACTTTTTGATAAATCTGAATATATAAATACAATGACATCTGAAATTTCCATGAATATACCCAACTTCAGAAATGGCTGGATGCATATAATCAAACAAGAGTGTTGTGGATTTCATGTCTCACATTCTAACTCTAGGTCCTACGCTCCTATGACATAGCTTCATTCCCTAGTAGCTCTGCAAATAGAAGAACTGATAGCACCTGGTAGCTCCAGGCTTATGTTATTCCATTACCCAGAACTTAGAACTGTTTTTTTTTAAACTACAAAATGAAGCACAAATACCAAAAAAACAAACATACATAGATTGATATAAGGTGAACAATCTTGTCAGCCCTCTAAATCAGGAAACAGACTCCTGTCATCTATCCCAGAAGCCACATCTATTTCCCAATCACAACCCTTTCCAGATTCTGATGTGCATCCCAAATGTGCATCCCTAAATTGGAGTTAGCCCTACCCATTCCTCTCCAAACTGATATATTCCTCTTTCACATTCCTCTCTCTTCTCCTTTACCAATCTGTTGACGAATCCTTTTGACGTAGGTGTCTTCCCATAGTCTAGATTTTGCTGATTGCATTCTCTTGGTGCAGTCAATATATTTCTCTGTTACCTACATTTCCTGCAGATAGGCAGGTGCATCCAGACACTGGGCTAGGCTCAGGTTTGGGACCTCCCTGGTGGCCTAGGGGTTAAAGTCTCAGCGTTCTCACCACCACTGGCTGGATTTGATCCCTGGCCAGGATGCTAACCCACATGTAGCGCAGCAGACCTCTTCTGTCTCACCCACTGTATTTCAGAAGATCCACCTGTTCTGCTCCCCACTCTGTCTCTGGTGAATCCTCTCACCCCCTGCATCTCTGGCCTATACCCCAGTTCTTCTACACACACACACACACACACACACACACACACACAGTTAGACTCAGGTTTGGTCCCTTTAACAAGACATCAGGAGCACTGGACAAGACCATAGGAGTCACACAAAGCCTGGTTGTCTTGCTTTTTATGATATGAACATTACTGATGCCTAATGTTCATATCCATCAGTACATTGAGGACTGTTAAATAATGCTATTTTAATTCAAGGGTTATCAAATTGGTCTATGGGCAAATCTGTCAAATTTCCACTGTTTTTAAAGTTATATTATCAGGACATAACAGTGAAACATGGAAAGGCAGAATCCAGCCTCTCTGGAGGCACCAGGCTGCTGGTCTTTTCTGAGGTCCTGGCATTTTCCTAGGACTAGCTGGGTTAGGGGACAGATTCCCAAATACCACAGAATCTACAGACTTTTATTCCTGTCCTATGTCAAGGACTCTCCCTTCATTCTCTCTACTTCTACCTACTCTACCCTATAACAGTCTCTCTCACTTCAGAATAATCCCTCCAAAGAACTAAAATGTTGAGAAACAGTGAACTGCTTAGACAACTTATCTCAAACTTAACTCAAACTTCCTCTAAGACAGGAAACTCAAAAGCCTGTCAACCTTCTCAGAACAGGGATAAAATTCCAAGAATAAAGAACTGTTATTCTTTCACAACTGTCAAAGCAAAATACAAAAATCTCAATAAGTTTTCCTCCCATATCTTATTGATTATTAAGTACAAAAGAAAGGGTTATTCTGAGGGGTTCTAGCTTTATGTCTCCCTTTTCTTGCAAATGACAGAAAAAAAAATCACTCAAATTTGCTAATGGAAAAATCTATTAAAAGAAAGCAAAGACAGGAGCTGAGTGGCTTCAGAGCCAAGACAACAACAACTCTTCTGAGCATCTTGGGACCTCACAGTGTCCCATCCTGCATCTTATTTCCCATCAGCTCCATTCTCATTTCTCTGCAAACCACCTCCCCTTGTTTCTGTCCCATGGCAGAAAGCAGCCATCCTGTGGCTTCTAAGACTCTCTCCTCAATTCAGGAGGTCAGCAGATATTTATTGATGCTCTCAAAAGCCAAAATTTCCAGATGAACAAATTGGTTCCATCTCAGACATCACTTCCACCCAAATCCTACTGCCCAGAACTTACTAATATGGCTACATCTAACTGTGAGGGAAGCTGGGTAATATGGTCTCCAGCTGGGTGGTCATAGACTCTGCGGCATCCATTACTAAAGGAAGAAGGGGTAAAAAAGAAACTGTTATTGTACGTAATATTTGACACAGTACAAGTTTTGCCAAAAGGACCAAATCTGAGTTTAGTCCCTGGATGCAGTTTTGCATATTTGCCACAGTCTAAGCACAAATGCTTAGTTGCTTAA